GCTAGACTCTTAGTTGAGAGGGTTGATATGGGGCTATTTTCATGACATGCAACTTCGTTTTGCCAGCTATATCTTGCATAAGCTCCAATTTCCAAGGACACTATATATGATTGCAATGACGGTCCACTAAATCGTCTTATTTTCCACAATAATGACTGACCATTAAGAAAAAGTCTGAGGATCGCTTGCATTTTGGTCGCTGCACCTCGGGAAATACCATGACAAAGAGAGTGGAAGATAGATTGGTTGGGAATGTAGGGTTACTTGACGCATGATGGGCTTACGTTACCGAAGCAGAACCCTAGGGAGGTACACTCTCACTAAGCACAAACCAGTTTAACTGTGAAAGCTCCTGTTGTACATGACATGTACACAGCAGCCTTACCACTACTTACTGACTCCCTGAGATGATGAATCTATTTCAATTCGCTAAGTGGCTGAACAAGACGGTCTATACCCGCCGTTCAGTAATGCTCTGCTCAACTACTTGACTGGATTTGTCTCTTTCTGGTATATCATCTGGTCTGCCGACATCCTCTTTATGTATCCCCCTCTGAATCTACGACGCTTAAAGAGGCACAAACCTCAAGCTGAAATATCTTACCATTGGGAGGAGCTACCACCTGAATTACCTACCATAAAGTCCAGTGGCCATGGGATCTCTCAGTCAACTACCGTGGTATTGGTTGAGAACACGCCAGGCCAAAGGATGGCTATCCACCTCTGAGCACGTAGCCTACTGTTAGGTGGAGGGACTGGAACCGCCGTCCATATGTTATATACAGACAGGCACGGCGGATAATGTTCTCATATATGCAACTGGATCTTGCTCAGAATATATTGCATACGAGCTGGAGAGATACATTTGACTAGGCAAGTGTCATAGGTACGATGGATGAAACTGTGACCAAGTGAACTGCATTCCTGTAACGGCTCATTTCCTCGTTAACAGCTGAAATCACTGCGACTGGCCTAGCCCTCTTCAGCTTTACCAATGGACTTCATAGTTTGACCACACTTTTTGACGTTGGCTGACTGTGTATCCCGCATTGTTTGGTAAATTGGAATGCTTCAAAAGAATAAGAATCCAAGGTTCCACCCGATTTTTACCTTGCTTACCTACTAAAGCCCAGTAAATATACGGGGTAGGGTATGGTACAACCTGTTCAGAAACTTGTTTCTCTCGCTTGGGCAAGCAATTGCTCCGAGAGGACTGGCTGTGCTGCTCGTTGGCTTTGTTCTGTCGGGTCTTCTCCACGCAGCAGCGTCTTATTCGGCGTCTCTCGACATCAAAGCCACGATGTGGGTATTTTCTTTCTTCTGTGTCGAGCCATGCCCAGCCAATCGGGGTTATTTTGCAGGCTTACGACGATGCCTCGGTTAAGGGCATTGCTGGGGAGCTGAAACCAAGCCCCATCGTTCAAGCCATTAGGCACGACTTGGTGTTTATTCTTGTTTTTACCACGTTTCCTTGGGCATGTCGAGATCCGGGGCTGAATGCCTCTCTCCCTTGGAGCCTCACTCGCTCGCTTCTGAAGCATTTTTAACGGCCTTGATATGCTCGGAATAAACGATTTTTGCCCGTCTTTTTCTATTTTTAGTAACTAGCTTTCTAGCTTCCCATTGGTCAACTTTATTTACGCTTCTCTTATCGACCAATGAGCGATTTTGTGGCTTTCGAGGCGCCCGAATGGTTGAAATATCGGTGTTGAATGTTGTTGTGACCCCAGGATGATATGATCAATGTTGATTCAAAGGAGATAATGCTCGTGTTCATGCTTGTAAGGTCGAGTGAATAAAGGAAATTCCTTTGTGTCGAAGTCACTGTCGATCTTCACACGTCACTCCACTATATTATATATAATGCGCGGTCTCTGTGGCACTGCAGCTTGTTTATGCTGAGTTTATGACCAGTTGACTCTCGTGTTAAGGGATCGCCAAACTTCGAATGACATGCAATGCACCTCTGACTGGTGGCTGTCCACGAGTCAAAGGGCTGGAGGAACGCATGCCACCAACAGACCCAAGTGCGAACTGGCTCTCATTACTTCAGCCTTCGCCTAGTCTTCGGTGTGCTGATCTCCCAGGGAGTGTCTCCCAGCACACGGAGTACCTGAGAAGAGACAGCACTACCAGAAGCGTCAAACACTAATCTGAACGAGTGATCCTGGCCGTCGGTGGTTACGCCATTTCGCCTGTAAAACAAGCCTGTAGGAGAACGGCATTACAGCAGGTGCGGAGTTCCTCAAGTGGCCTGTTGAAGTTCCACCATGACAGCTACGTCCATTCTTGGGCTCATTATCCCGGACGAAGAGGGCGTCTGTGGTATGAACAAGAACCACTGGACGATTACCCTGGAGACTGCCCTTGGACAAGTTCGATACAGTGAAGGAGACCGGAGAAATGAGGGGACCCAACGAGAGTGGTGCAACCAGCAGGCTCGCCTTTTAAGCTTCAGCGGTTTGGCACTTGCTCAACACAAGTCGTTTACGGGGCATAGTTGAGGAGGTTGCAGAACAGAGCGGGCAGTTTTATCCTGCAAAAACATATCTGGCGGCCAGGGTGATAAAAAGCTGAATGAAGGTTGGAGTACCTTGTGATGTAGACTATAGTTGCCGGCAAATATATCAAATTTCATTCCGTGATGCCACATAAAGTGCGTCCAGGGACCACCATCTGCGCCAGTTCGATTTGGGGTTACTCCGTAAGTACTCCCTAGATGTGTCTGCTAAGCTTCAAGCTCGTCACCGGAGCAATTAGTTAACTTGTTAGCTGGAAAAGCCAACGCCAGATTGAGTTTCGTATCGTCCAGAGAGAAGAAACCTGATACATCCGAGCTTGCATCCACGGTTGACTCTGAAAGCTTTTTGCTCCTGGAGACGAGACAGACAGGGAGCGGCCCCGCGATCATCAATATCAAACCGCGGGTGCCAGATCGATATTCGATGGGACGGGAGGAGGCCAGATACTACTGTACCGTCGCTCTGGAAAGTCCGACAACAAGCCTGTTTCATCAAAACATCCGATGAGAGCGAGGACGAAACTGAGGAGAAATAATAACAATAATCTCACAGAAGCAGGAAATTGGACCAGCCTGCATGTAACTGCAGCGTACGACTCCCGTACACCCGCTGTCAAAACAGCCCGTGTTATTGGAGCCACCAGCCAGCACACAGAGAGAGACAGAGAGACAGAGACAAGAGAGCTGCCATGGAAACAGACAAGAGAGAGGAGCTTCGTATCCCTGCACGCCATCGAGATCCTGACCAGGGCTGCCAGACAGGGATGGCGAGCTGCTTGAACCTGTCTTGTTGCTGGGAATAATGACTCCTCTCTCCCCCCGGTGCAGTGCAGTGCAGAGTTTGAAACACGTCGTGCAGCTCTCTGGCAGCGCTTCTCTCTCGCCGTCTCTCGAGTGACGCCCGCCCGCATGGCTCTGGCTGGACTGTCCTCCGTATGCTGTGCTGTCCTTAGAATAATATAATATCATGGCGAGTTAAGCGTCCGCTGTGGCTATGCAGGGGCGGTCGACGGGGGGAGGGAATCGGCTCTGAGTCCAGCGCCAAAAGCAAAGAGCTGCGCTGGCGGCTCCTCTTTGGCCGGCGCCTTAGCGACCTGGGAAGCCTGGTGAAACTCTTCCTTCGCCTCTCTCTCGATGTCTCGCTCTTCTTGTGCTTTTCTTGTCGCTGGCGCTTCGAGCTCGAGGCTGGCGTGCCGGTGGAGATTCTCGTCCCTCGAGACGGCGTCTCCTACATAAAGCCGCCGTCCCCTGCCTGTCCTTCTCGATCTCTCTCTCCTGTCTCTTCCCTCTCTTCTCTCTCTCTCTCTCTCTTGAATATCCTTCTGTGTACCTCGTTCATCTGCCTCGTCTGTCCTGCAAGATGGCCCGTCTGCTCAGCTTCCTGGCCCTGGTGGCCCTCTGCCTGGCCCTTGTCTCTGGCGAGCCGCTGCGGCAGCCTCTGCTGCGAAAACACCATCCGCGCGACGCTGCAGAGGACAATGCCGTCTTCTCGCTGCACAATCTCTCGCTCAAGCTCTTCCACAAGCGAGCTGCCGTGGCCGACCCGGTGCCTGGCGCTGCTGGGGCCGAGGAGGCTGCCCGCCGCAAGGTCCTGCGCCGCCAGAACACCGGCGACATCCCCACGGCCACGCCAACGGGTACGGACTCTGACTCTGCCTCTGCCTCTCCCACTGCCTCTCCAAGCCCTACTGCGTCCCCTACTGCGTCTCCTCCTGCTTCTCCAACTGCTTCTCCTCCTGCGTCTCCGACGACGGACGGCTCATCCTCTTCTCCTGCAGACACGCCCACAAAACCGCCCACCAACTCGCCCACCAGCAACCCGCCTACCAATCCTCCCACCAGCAGCCCTACCAATCCGCCTACCAATCCACCTACCAACAGTCCTACCAGCAGACCTACGGACTCTCCAACTGCGTCTCCAACGGACTCCCCTACTTCTTCGCCTACGCAGCCTCCAACCCGGCCCCCTACTAGCCCGCCTACCAGCTCTCCTACCAATCCGCCTACCAGCTCGCCCACGGACAGCCCTACCAATTCGCCTACCAGCACTCCAAACGAGACCTCCAACCAGCCTACATCTCAGCCGTCCATGACCAGCCAGAGACCAACCAGCCAGGACACCACTCTCGTCACCGAGACCTCGCCCTCGCCCACCCGGGCTTCCTCAGAGACCTCGCGGCCAGCCACCACCGAGCCGCCGTCCACCACCACCCGGCCTCGCTCCTCGTCTACTTCGACCTCCATTGGCGTGGTCACCGAGGCCGACGGCTCCGTCCACACCTACACCTCCGTCGTGGTCGTCTATCCAACGCCCTCTGACGGTGGCAACGGCGGGTCTCCGGCCTCCCCAACTGCCTCGCCAACGCTGCAGAACGGCGCTGCTCCCGTGGCCAGCGTCGGCCTGACCGGTGTCTTTGCCGCCGTCCTCGGTGGTGCCGTCGGTGTTGCTCTTGTCCTTTAATTCCGCCTATAGACCTTGTGTTTCTGTTTCTTATCTCCTATTACGTTCTCTTTGGGTTTTGCATAAAAATTGATTGATCTACCGGATGTCCCAGTTTTAGCGCTAACGATTTTCCTATCCACTCCTTTATACGAATATCTATGAAAAGCGTTGATTTTGTTTGATTCTCATGCTGAATACTGTTTCTGATACTGCTTGCATTTTTGCCTCCGAGGTTCCTGGCCTGTTCCGTTCCTTTTTTGCATCAACTGTGACTTTTTTGACTTTGGCTGTGCCGTGGTTGGAAGAGAGACATGTATCAAACTCCCAACCTAGATATCAAATACCTAGACTTTTTTTTGGCCCAATGGGCTAAAACAGACATCTTATTGCCCTCTTTTAGCGGCTGTCTCACCATGGATTCATATCTTGGATTGTGTTGGAGTATATAGCTCTGAAGGATACGAGGTGTACATAGCTGGCTCACTCTGACTATGTATATACATAGACACAACGCTAGTTCCCTGCTTTTCCAGCAAGTCCTAGACCCAGTTCTGATTACGCGGATGCTACCCTGGGCTATTAGCCGAAAACCAATCAATCAATCGTACGATAACCAGGTGTGATCATTGCTGAAAATGCTGCTGTAGGTAATGTAGTCATTATTAGTGGAAAGGAAACTCCAACTCCAACTCCAACTCCATGCACCAGGGCTCAAATCTCAGTCCAAGGCCTACTAAAAAGCTAGTTCTTCTCCGGCCGCTGCCCATAGACCACATACGCAGTCATATATGCATGGATCTTCGTGTCTTGATAGTCCCTCTTCAGCCTCACCAGGTGCTCCCTCACCCTCTGCTCGCTCCACCCATTCACCCTCGTCAACAGCGCCATCGACCATCCCTCCATCCCTTCCATCGCCTGCACATGGTTCCACGCTCCAATCTCCTTTAGCTTGGGGTCCTTCGCCCACGGCCCAACAGGCACTTTCATCTTGCGCTCCGTGACGTTGACGAAGCCTGCCTCGCGCGCCCATTTGGCTAGATGGGGGCCGGGACAGGCGGTTTGGCCGATCTTTTCTGCCGCGCTGGTGGTTTCAGCGCAGTTTATGTACATCTCGTGGGTTGGGAGGAGGGAGTTGTCGTCGCTGCGGAAAAAGAAGTCGAAGTCGTAGAATTCAGCGTACCCGTTTGGCGTCAGGTTTCTATCCGACTTTAATTAGTATGGGGAGCGCCATAGTTAGGATGTACGGTTCACGTACTCGAGGATCTGGCGGAAGAGACGGGGCCAGTCCCGGATGGAAGAGGCCATGAAGCGGCAGTGGATGTAGTCGAAGGGGTGGTGGTGTGCCCAGTCATTCTCGACATCGTCTATTTCGAATTGTACATTCGGCGGGACGCTGCGGCAGTTAGGTTATGGGTCTGGTTGAAACAACGCATTGGGGGGGTACGGAGGAAGACTTACAATTTGGGCTGGATCGGACTTAGATCGTTTCCAACAACCTGTCAACCAGCTTAGTTACCGTTGTTCTCCGTGCATCTTGCTAGGTTTCATACCAGAGCATCCGGATATCGGCATCCGGATATCGATCGGCTAGTAAAGTCAGCCATGCGTATACACGCCCATAGTAGAAGACGCACTCAGACTCACCCATATCAATAGCCCAGTCACCCGTTCCCGTACCGATGTCGAGGATGCGCTTCATTTTCGGCGGGAGAGGCGCAAGGAAGAGTCGTCCACCGAGAATGAGTTTGAAGAGATGCGATATGATATTCATATGGTCCTGCTCCTTCTCATCGTTGGGCAGCAAGTATCCTTTTTCCCAGAGGTCAGCATACGCATCCATGCACATAACCTAGAGAAAGGAGAAAGATAGACGAACGGCCTTCTTGGTATGTGTGGTATCGACGGCCATGCTCGTAGGTATATCTCATTATACTCGAGGTCAACGATGCCGTGGTGCTTGATCTGTTGGTGGCCCACGGTCAGCTTCAGACCCCCATCCATGCACCCACCCCCTAACGGCTTGTTCGCCGGCACCAAAGAGACCACTCACTGGTCAGAGAATGCGGAGTCCAGGATTGTATCGCGCTACAGGGAGCCAGTTAGCATGGATCGGATACTAAAACAGACCAAGGAGAGGGGCCTTACCGACTCGTCGATGACAATCACCTCGTTCGAGGCGACCATGGGGACTGGCGGGAGTTAGCTTGGACCGACAAGGCATGTAAGTATGGAGTGGTTTGAATCACCTTCGCCGGCCATCTTATTGTATGTTTATATACCTTCCTCCGTATCGTACGTTTGATGTCGGGAGAGTGGAAGTTGATGTTTGAGTCGGGTGGGTGTTGGGCTGTACTCCCTATATCAAGGGAGCAGTAAGAAGTTGTCCGTCTTTTTGATAGACGGCCAAAAAAAAAAAAAATAATATTTCAAAAATGTAAAAAAAAAAAAAAAGCAGAAGAGTAGATCAAAGACTAGAACATGCGGGGGGTACGGAGAATATCGACAAGCAATCACGATCAAGGCATCTTCCGTTTAGATTCTGTATATCTGTATATATTTAATCCGCCATTCACAGCTGCACAAGCCCGAAAAGCCCCCTGTCCAAAGAGTCCCGGTCACGGCTCCCCAACGTCGAGGGCCAGCTTGAGTATTTCGAAGGGAGACAAACATAAAGAAAAGAGAAAGAAAGAGAGAAACGATGGAGCCTTTCCAACGGGCTGGCTAGGAGTGGAGGCGACTTGGGGGCATTTTTTTTTTGGCTCGACTAGTGAGCTGACGGGCCGCTCGCTAGAGTTCCCCAGCCTATTAGACGAGCGTGGAGATGGCCTCGAGCAGCCAGTCAAGAAGCGAAAGTCTGTCTTTGTCCTCTCTTTTTTCAGCCTGGCCTGCAGGCGGTGCCCAAGGAGCTGCTGGCGCTGCGACTGGGGGGGAGTACGAGCACCGTACGCCATGGGCCGAATGCGAGCGGCGGGCGAAAACGGACGAACCTGCCAGCCTGCACACACACGAACGTTGATCACAAGAGAGACAGCAGAAAGAGATTTGACACTGCTGCTTTCTACCGTCGCTGTTGGACGTTGTTCCACCTCTCCGTGGCCGTCCAGTACTTCACCAGCCGGGTCCAGCCCAGCAGGTCCCCGTCTCGCAACAGGGCCGCGACGTCGACGTTGAGCGGCGAGTCCGGGCTGGGGTCGGTCAGCAGCTGGTGTATCGCCGACAGGGTGCTGGAGATGGTGTAGACGGGCGACCAGTGCTCCGACGTGAGCAGCGTCAGGCAGATCTCGCCGGTCGAGAAGGAGATGTTGGGATGGCAGATGGGCGTTGCGAAGGTGATCTTGGGCGGGTGCATGGGATACGTCGTCGGCACCGCGATGCGCAGCAGCCAGAGGCCGTCTGCAGCCAGCAAGTCGCTCAGTTAGCCGTTGTACAGACAGATTTTTAACAGCCAGTAGAGCAGAGATCTGATGCCGTACCTTCGTAGGGGGAGTCCGGGACGCCCTTGAGGACGGCCTCCCAGTGCAGGAGGTCGTCGTCGCTGACGGGCGCGAGGGAGAGCAGGGCGTCATTGGGCGACTTTGAGTACTCCTTGAGCTCGCGCAGGAGCCGCTTTGTCGTCGAGGCCGGGATATCAGTCATCTTCGCCTGTTTGATTGCTCGAGTTATCGCTGTAGAATGCTCGTCGTCGCCGTCGTCGCCGTCGTTATCGTTGGATGTTTCGTCCTTTTTTGGAGGCTTCCGAGATGCCGAGGTTGTGGCTGGGCGGTGGCTTCAGCCGGCAGCAGACAGATAACTTGATGGACACGGCAAACAACAACAAGCAGCAGCAGCAGCAGCTGAAGACGAAGAGACGAAGAAGAAGAAGAAGAAGAAGACAGGATGCGGACGTCGAGGGTCTCGCGGGAGGCAGCAAAGGTGGCAGAGAGCTTGACTTCACGCAGACGGGCCGTCAAGAAGGAGGAGGACGCGAGTTCAGGCCTCTCTTCGCCCCCTACGACAGACATCGAGGACCTGCTGACGGCGACGAGGAAGCGGAAGAGAGCAGCTACAAGGGCGGGCAGGGCTGTCAAGGCCAAAGATAACGATGTCAAGGCCGTGAAGAGCGTCAAGGAGGAGCTGGGAGTCGATATAAAGGGCCCTCCGAACTGGCAGGTCATGTACGAGACCGTCAAGCGCATGCGAGAACGCAATCCCACGGCCCCCGTCGACACGATGGGATGCTCAGAGCTGTACTGGCGGTCGTCCTCGCCCCGAGACAGGCGGTTCCACACGCTGATCGCCCTCATGCTCTCCTCCCAGACCAAGGACACCGTCACGGCGGCCACAATGCTAAGGCTGCACACCCAGCTCACGGACGAGACGAGCGACAATGCGGTGGCAGAGGTCTGGGACCGCGATCACCAGAAGACTGCCAGTACGCTGACTCTCGAGAACATGCTGGCCGTGTCTCCCGAGCGGCTGAACGAGCTCATCAGGGCCGTTGGGTTCCATAACAACAAGACACGGTACATCAAGGCCACCGCCGAGATCCTGCGAGACCAGTTCGACTCTGACATACCGTCGACCGTAGAGGGGCTGATAAGTCTGCCTGGTGTGGGACCCAAGATGGCGTATCTCTGCATGAGCTCGGCGTGGAGCAAGCATGAAGGCATCGGCGTGGACGTGCATGTCCACCGCATCACCAATCTATGGGGATGGAACAAGACCAAGACCCCAGAGGCTACACGGGCGGCTCTCGAAAGCTGGCTGCCCAGGGACAAGTGGCATGAGATCAACAAGCTGCTCGTTGGCCTGGGACAGACGGTCTGCCTGCCGGTTGGCAGACGGTGTGCCGAGTGCGACCTCTCCGGTACGGGACTGTGTATAGCAGAGATCAAGAGCAAGTCCAGGGGCACAAAAAAGAGAATAAGCCCGGTCAAGGCAGACAAGGAGGAAGACGTTGATTTCCCTGAAGTCAGGGAGAGCAAGATTGATGTCAGGGTGGACAAGGAGGAGGATATTGCTCTACCGGACGTCAAGAAGGACGCCCTTCTCGAAGCCGAAGATACCAAGAGTAATATCAAGCTTAGTATCCAGGAAGATGTCGAGGATAGTAAGAAAAATATCAAACTCGAGGCGTAGATGTAAGAATACTGTTTGCTGTTTGTTATAGATACCATTTTGATTATTTATCATTTATCTACTACCATCGTAATCAATAACTATCAACAAGTCATTTCATCAAAATTCCATCAAGCATCTTAGAACAACATCAATATGCCGATATCAGTGTCTAAATTTGCACAAATACAGCAGCGTCTTCTCCTGGCCGAGCATGAAGACGAGATAGCTTCCTCTCCTCTGTCCTCCAGCTCTGCAGCTGCATCAGCCTCAACCCGACGGGCTCTGCAGAATGCTGGCCATGCGCTCACTGGCATGGTCCTCACCAACTGTCGGACAGGTATGGGAGGCCGAGAAGTAGGAGAATTCGGTCTCAATACTGCTCTCTCTGGCTCTGGGCGTGCAAAGGGAGCCAGCAAGGATGAGGATAATACCCGGCTAGGTGTCCATGGCATCACGGTGGGGGATATCGTCCGCGTCGAGGAGATTGCTTCTGGCAAAACAACGGCCAAATCCAAGGCCGGGCAAGACGACGAGAAGGGCCAGAGAGGCCTTGAAGGTGTCGTCACTCGCGTTGGCGAGAGATCCATCTGGGCCGCCTTTGGGGATCGAGGCAAAGGCAAGCAAGATGAAGACGGCGTCGACGAGCTCTGGGGACGCAAGCTCTGGCTGTACGTCTTTTGATATTCTATCCGCCTATGTATCGATCGCAATTATACTGACTGAATATAGGGTCAAGCTGGCGAACGATGTTACCTATAGACGGTGAGTGGCCACCTACGTCCAGTTGGCGTTATACTGACATCAGTGCAGAATGAACCAAACGATGGCCAAGCTGGAGAAGATGCCAGAATCGGAGCATTCCCAGCTGATCCGAGTGCTATTCGGGCATACCACGCCCTCGCCTTTGGATTTTGAATCCGTTGGTACCCTGGAGTTCATGGATGCATCACTCAACGACTCCCAGAAAGAAGCGATTCGCTTTGCACTGGCATCAAGAGAGATAGCGCTCATCCATGGCCCGCCGGGCACAGGAAAGACTCACACGCTCATTGAACTCATTCGCCAGCTAGTTCAACGTAAAAAGAGAGTTTTAGTCTGTGGCCCGTCAAATATCTCAGTTGACAATATAGTCGAGCGTCTTGCCTTGCACAAGGTACCGTTGGTTCGAATAGGGCATCCAGCACGTCTACTATCTTCCGTCCTGGATCATTCGCTAGAAGTACTATCTCAAACTTCCGAAGCTGCTGCCATAGTGAAGGATGTCCGCAAGGAAATTGATTCAAAGCAAGCGAGTATTCGCAAGACCAGGAACGGGAGAGAACGTCGAGCTATCTACGGTGATCTCAAAGAACTTCGCAAAGAATTCAGAGAACGTGAATCGAAATGCGTTGACAATATCGTCTCCGGTAGCCAGGTGGTACTCGGAACACTGCATGGAGCTGGAGGACATCAACTCAAGAACCAGAAATTCGACGTCGTGCTTATCGATGAAGCGAGCCAGGCTCGAGAAGCTCAATGTTGGATTCCGTTGCTCCCTGCTTCTAGAGTTGTATTGGCAGGAGATCATCTCCAACTGCCTCCAACAATAAAGTCAAAGTCCTCAAGCAAGTCAGATCAGACCAACTCTGCATTATGGGACAAGGAAGACCTCCATTTTAACGAGCTCTCCAATACGTTTGATATGCGGAACTTGGAAATAACACTGTTTGATAGGCTACTCTCTCTCCATGGCACAGGAATAAAGAGGGTGCTCACTACGCAATACCGCATGCATCAGAAGATAATGGACTTTCCTTCTGACGAACTATATGAGTCTAAACTCATTGCTGCCGATGCAGTCAGGGAAAGACTTCTCAAGGACCTCCCCTATGAGGTCGAGGATACAGATGACACCAGAGAACCTTTGGTGTTCTACGACACGCAGGGTGGAGACTTTCCCGAGAAATCCCCAGATTCAAATGGTATATCCGCCAAGTCTCTTCTTGTTGAGAGTAAATGTAACGACATGGAGGCGGCGGTTGTCGCGAGACATGTTGAGAATTTGGTTTCGGCTGGCGTCAGACCCGAGGACATTGCTGTCATTACGCCTTATAATGCACAAGTTGCTTTATTGTCTCAGCTTCTGAAAGAGAAGCTTCCTACCCTCGAACTTGGTAGCGTGGATGGTTTCCAGGGCCGTGAAAAGGAAGCAGTCGTAGTAAGTCTGGTCAGGAGTAATTCAGACCATGAAGTAGGATTCTTGGGGGAGAAAAGGAGATTGAATGGTATGTTGCCCTTGGTCATCTTTAACATTTAGTTTCTCCGTGCTGACTAGGGTAGTTGCAATGACCCGTCCCAGAAGACATCTGTGTATTTGTGGAGACTCAGAAACTGTTAGCAGGTGGGTTTGCATCAAATCCAAATTAACCATTATATCGATTATGTGCTCATAATTATGCAGTGGGTCACCATTCCTCAAGAGATGGATGGCCTTTTTAGAAGAGAATGCCGACCTGAGATACCCCGATATCAGCGAATTTACAAGCTAATTAGATAATATAATGGCTGACAGATATCATGTGTGCGATTCAAACGACGTTGATTGAATGAAGATGGACTAGCCAACGACAAATACATGATATCAAGTGAAAAAGTGAATAAAATAGGCAATAACCAAGGCAAGAAGGGCAGAAATGGCCCCTATCTCCAGCAAAATAAATGGATCCGTATGGATATATACCACCTCTAAACGAATACGTTAGCCCCCTGACACCATGGTTCAGGGAGGATGCAACTTACCCATACGTTGAGAGTCTCCAACCGACGAACTTTCTGGGCTTTCTAATTCATGAGTTTGGACAGCCCTAGAGGCTTGACTAGATTCATTTCTGTTGTTCTGCACGATGTTGACAGCTAGTCTCGGCTCACGTCCAAAATCAGCGTTAACTGGAATACGACGGTGTATCGTTACCGGGGCCGGCCGGGGCACAGCTGGGATATTTTCATCGTATTCGCTGCAATTATCCCAGCTTTCTGTCGAGGAAGCCGAGTTATTGTTTGGTGCATGGTAAACCTCAGAATTAGGACCACAACTATTCTCATACCTAATATCTCTGTGTTAATTGCATTTGATTCATTACTCTCAAATGTAAAGGATAAATAATAAACATACGATTCCTCTCCATATATGCGTGGATGGCCTCTTGTTCGAACCGGGCTTGGGTGACTTGCCGATTCATCTCGACTATAAAGTGGCTCTGGATGGTGCCAAGGAGCCTGTGTCGACGTCTCGCTCTCTCTAGACGCAGGTACACCTGAGTAGCCGTCGGTTCTTAACGTCTGGTGATTGGGCAGCTCATCTTGTGTAGCAGGATGGATCGGGAGGATCCCTCTTGTTCGCTGGGCTGCGAGTCCTGCGTCCACGACCATGATAGGAGCAGATATCGTCGGTTTAACTTTTGACTTTTTTTTGTCCTTTGGAGATTTTTTCTTACGCCAATTGAGAGGCTTTACCTTGCATCCATGAGATTCAGAGGAGGATCCCTCTCGGGATGGGGTTTTCGAGCCGTTGGCCATATTTGTTGGACTGCAAAGGATGTCATATTATTTTCTCGAGACCGGTATTCGTTAATTTATGGAGATAGCAGCAGCTATATAATGCAGACTAGGTAGAGGTTTGTTGTGTTAGCATTCCAGAGGATCAAATCATGAGGCAGTGTCGAAATAAGCGGAAAGGTTTGGCAAGCGAATTCTATCCCGTATCTGTTTGCATCCACATAGGCTCTGTTGAATCTACAAGCAATCCACTTAGCACTCAAGGTCATTTACTAGAAATGATAACAAATATATTTCGAGCGCTTCGCTTTACATTTCTTAATGCAAACTTCTACTGTATCCTTTTGATTCAGCATCCCCTAGAAACCCCCAAAGATGTTTTCTTTTGATATCAGAAAAAGTAAAAACAGAGCAAATAAGGTTCGGCTGGAAGGTTAACTTCAGTCCGTTGCTAAAAGCGGTAAAGTTTACCATTTAATTCAACCTCTTTTTCAACTTCAGCGTTTTGCTCTTCCATTAATTTACTCCTTGTTTGCTCCAATAGAGCGTAGATGGTTTAAAACTTCTAATCAAAGACCATATACATAGTTTGATTATTCAAACTATTTTATGACATTAAATGGTTTTCTCATTTAGTGAACATTTTCGATACCTATAGGGCATGGTGAAGCAAACGGATAACCCTCCTAACAAACATCTAGAGTGATGGCTGAAACCAGAGCAAGCATAAAATATAATGAATCAGCTCTGCTTTTCATACATTCATTTAGCTATATAACTATGATGCAAGTGCCTCTGCATTGGAGTCAATGGATCCTCATCTCCGTGACTTTATACCTTCATCTACATCAGTACGGCCTTATATAGCCATGTTATACTGCCACCCCCTTTTTATATTCTGAACGCTCGCTCCTTGGTCACTATATGTGGCTGGAGGACATTCTTCAAAATGAATCGACTATATGCCGGGGCAGTGGAATCTTTGCAAATATACGATCGGCAGGTCCTAATCCAAAACGTCTATGAATGTCCACAGGCACTTGCCTGTTCACCATGGGAAGTCATCGGACTTGCTTGACGGGCTATAAAATCTATATAAATTCCTCTTCGTTGGCCCTTGTTTACACGACTACTTCGGAATATCACAGTATAGCAAAGATTCCTTTGGATTAGCTACACGTCCATATATACTTCTAACCCCCTGCCAGTTTAACATACGACGTGCTATCAATATGGATCCCACTAAAGACACATCTCCTGAGTTCCAAAGAAAATTCAAATGGATCAAGAAGCTCGGAAATGGCTCTTTTGGCGCCGTTTACCTCTTTGAGTCTCGGATTACAAAGGAAAAATTTGCATGCAAGGTAGCAGTGGACCCTGGAGCACAAGAAGCTCTCTTACGAGAGGTTGCTATCCTCAAGAGGCTGCATCATGTAAGTCTTAACTTCTGTATCCTGGTCCCTGAACTCGATACTGACATTATCCGAGCCGAATATTATCAAGTACGTTACCAGCCATTTCTATCTCAATCAGAGACCAAACTGCTTGATCATGGCGTACCATCCTCTTGGCTCGCTGGAGAATTATAACTTTTCTACGCGCGAGGCCCTAGAAGTTGTTCACCAATGCCTCAGGGCCCTCAGATACCTCGAAGAAATGGCCTTATTCCATCGAGATATAAAGGAGGACAATATATTGCTGAAGTCATTATCACCATTGCATGTCTGCCTTGCCGATTTTGGCCTGGCAGTTACCAGCAGAGAAGGAGCCACACATGGTGGCCAGTTAACTCACGTTGCTGTGGAAGTATACCTTGGCCGCAGGTATTCTTATATAGCAAATATTTGGTCTCTCGGGGTAACTGCCCTTTCTCTTCTCCGGCGATTTCCCAAGAAAGAAGCTCAGTGCTTTTTCCGTGGCCGGGATCGGGCACAAGAAGCCAAATACTATGAAAAGCTGCTATCAGAAGCTACCTCTTTTCGTGGGTATTTCGGAGAGCTAATAAAGCATATGCTTTGTACCCCAGATGTTCGGTGGACTGCCGTTGAATGTCTGCAGTATCTGGGAGAAGGCGCTGATACGGGCCCCAGCCGCCCAGTCCACCACAGATGAGGCTGAGCCATAACGTCATTTCCATAGTTATAGACGTTATAGGACGCCAGATATTTGAACAAGCTGTACCTTTGACATATCTAGTGGCCATATATCGACTGGATTGAGGGTAAGGCAGGTTAGCTAAAGATGCCCTTAGGTGGAGCTATATATTCCCTAATGTATATATCATGGTTTCTCTATAATAAAGAAACGAACCTATGAAACTCATGTTATTTATCAATATGATTATTGTCACATTGTCAATTACTTTTAAATTAACACTCTCGAATTAATCTCGGTGGGGATAGTTACCTACTGGATTGTCCGGCATACGAGTTGCGATAGAGATGATACTGTTTAACAGTCGCCACGGGTAGCTGAGCGACGCTCTTTCTGACTTTAAATCCCTATATTCTCTATAAAAGCTGATTGAACATTGGTGACGCGGAAGCTTAGGTAGTTATTAAATTGATCAACCAGGTTTTTGAAAGTTGTGTAAAACAATCATAAATTCCCAGGACTCGGTGAATATTGAATCCCATATCAAACTGTGCCTTGGCCCGCTGACTTGTAAGTATACTCCGGGTAACCGCCCTTCATCCAAGAAGTAGCCTTCCAATCCAGTAACTTATTCCCAGGACTGTATAGATAAGTCCTTTTTGCATATGCTATTTAAACCCATATACCCACCCTGGTACACAGGGTTCCGTGCCAGTCGCCATTCCCACCATCAAGGGAATGGGGCTATCGTATGATCCGTTGGAATAGAAAATTGTCCTCAACTGAATGGCGAGCATTAGGTCAATAATCTTATTACCGAGTGGGTGGGAACTTTGAAAAAGATATAGCAATGGCGGTAGTGTGGCGTTGAAAAGAGGAAAGCCCTGCGGTCTCGGTTGACGATGGCGCTGCAGCCATTCCTGTGGAAGGATTCATCTCCCTTTATAGCTGACTATAAGGTCATTCTGATAGCGATAGGATCGTTTATGAAACAAGTAGAATAAGCAATTGAACTAAATGAGATGCTCTTTCCACCCTGAAGGCCCTCTCCATGAGAAGTACTAGTGGAACTTCGACGAAAGCAGTGCCAGCTAAGGCACGTAAGCTCATCGCAGATGGGGAATGTGGGTTAAGCAAATCTTCCCAGTATTTCCAGGAGCTGTTGTTAGGGATTGTTACCCGGACTGAGCCTCGGCCGCTAGCAAAATCAAAACAGTAGCTGGCTCTCCTATTAGAATCCGGAAAAATAAAAGAAGTCGTCTCGGATCGCTTTGTGGTGGTAACATACAAAGGGTTAACTAGTCAGGATAAATGTTTTGCGGGTGATATAAATAAATGGTGATAGTTAAACTACACCAATGTTAGTTGAAGCAAGCACAGGCTCTGAGGGTAATGGGGATATGCCTACCCTTTATAGTCTGATACATACCCCTTGTTGACTTCGACATGGATGTAGCCAAGGCCATTGAATGTTGCATCGTCCGGCTAGTTACTTCCATCTCGCTTAACTTGTTATTCAATATTGTACAACTCCGAATTACGTGCCCGCGTAGGCTATTTATAATAGTTATAAAAAATATTACTATATTAAAAATACCTCTTTTTA